CCAATACAAAGCTGCACTCTTGCACATCTCACAGTAAGCGCAGTATCAGCGCTCAAAGGCACCTCAAAGGCCAGAGCTTTATCCAATGACCCTCAGTCTCCACATGCATCCAGCATGCAGTATGTACTGTTTTCTTCCTCTCTGCACTGAAACATCCAACTGAAAATGCCCTCAACACAAACATAAATCACTGGCCTAAATCACAAGATGAAAAGACATCCACATGACAACAGTAAAAATAGATCTAACTGTAGGTAACAAATATTTTCAGCACAGCAACACTGACTGAACAAATCCCGATCTGCTTCTCCTGCCATCAGAATAATGTTGCACTAAAAACAGTTCAAAATCAAACAGTGTGGGTTAGGTCAACTGAAATTGAATTCAGTCCAAACATTACCATTTACATAATGCCTGAAGCTTTCTTGGAGAGCTACACAGCATTGTGGAGTAGGAGCCATATAGATTCAGAGATACCGCTTAAAGTCAGTGCAGACTGGACCTGAACATAAATAAATTAAGAGGAGGGCAGCAGGACAGAAGGTGCTTTAACCTTTGGGAACAATAACTTTGATAACTATTGAATTCAATTGGACAGTACATTTTAATTGGGGACCAAAATCAGTGTTGGCAACAAAACAGCAACACAGTTTAATCCCTGGGTATGACCAGTGTGTCTGAATAAAGTAATGTTTGGACTGAATTCAGTTTCAGGAGTATGCAACATGGCCTGTTTGAGCAAACCAATGAATGTTTGGTATGTTTGATGCATTAATATTTAGAATCTCAGAGTGAAAAACTGGGAATACTAAGGTGAATCAGTTTGATCTGCATTTAGAAATGATGTTGCTGGAAGACATTTTCACATTTTTAATTTGAGCTCTGCTAGTCCTTTAAATGGTGGTTGTCAACTCACTGGAAAATGATATTACAGTATAGACATGTTTCTCCGGCATGCAGTTCTATAAAGCCCTGACATAATATATTTGTAACATTTTCACCTTTACATTCATCTTTCACACACTGGGTTTGTATCATACCTCACCTCTCTCTACAGCACACTGGTTCTCTAAATGTAACAGTACTGCCCTGAAATCATGCACCAGTTGATATTTCTAGTTCGGCTTTGTTAACTTGCACTGTGTGTGCTGATGCCGCTGTATCAGCAGAATACTGTAAAAACAGTGGGCATAGCAGCTAACTGCTCCCACTAGAGTCCTGTATGACAATGTGCTTTCTGCTGTCTGCACGCCTCAATCAAACACTGTGCTGCGAATGGAAGCTCAGTGACCTCACGACATCATCAAGGTAAGAACATGTTTATTTTGCATTACTGTATTATATAGTCTCTGGTGTGCTTTAAATTTGTTGCTGTAATACTCTGAATATAATGTTAATGCTACTGATTGAACGGATTAGAGGCTGTAGTCTTGCAGTCCTAATGAATTTAGTCTCAATTGCCCTCAACATTTATAACTCGCACTTGGAAATACAAGTCGTCTTGTGTGATTTTTTTTTTTGGTTTCTACAAACACACAAATAATATTTGCCTCTAAGCTGCTCCTTTAAGCTGCATAGTTTCCCTTTGCAGATGCACCGGTCATTGAGGACCCCACATTGGCATGCCAAGTCCGTTGCCAACTGATATTCTGGGACCTCATAATTTACAAATCAAATGTTGACTTTGTCACACATTAGACACAAGAAAAGTGGGTAACATTTATCATATTTTAGACTTTCTTTATTGATGCTTCATTCTCTGTCGCCTCATACTCAGAGGTTGCAGACAGAGCTGGGTAGGGAATACACTTTACTACAGTTTGTTCATATAAATGTAAAAGTCTGTTTTTACATGTTGGTCCATGACTGGCTACTTCTGATGTCACAAAATCATTGTTCAACAGGTTACACATTTGACACTCAGATTTAATGTAAACACATTCAGCAGATGAATGTGAAAACAAACTATCAAACTCCATATCACACTGAACTATATAACTATATCAATATCATATAACTATGCACCATTCTGCAGTGTAAAGACCAACAATTCAAGTGAAGTACCAATAAATGCAATAACTAGAGCAATGAAACTTCCAGCATCCATGATTAGTGGCTGGGTGTGGTCATGAATAAAATCGCTGGGCTTTAAGAAGGAACAGTGTCCATAGATGTAAAGATTTTTCCTATAAAATGATTTCCAGTAGTTTACTATGCATTGATTGTCCCAATTTGCTTTCTAATGTCAAAAAAGAAAGGAAAAAAACACCGAGTTACCACATTTAAATTAGTGAGACAACTGAAGCTCATTGTCTAAACGTAACGTCACAATAAACTACAATTCCCAAAAGCGCCTGGGGTTTAGGAGTCAACCAATGACTGGCAGTAAATGGCGTGACGCCATCACTTTGGTCCATTTATGTGCCCGTTTGCTATTCTCACGCACAGGGTTCGCGGTAAAATCTGCGAGGAGCACAGCATCCACAGCTTGTCGAAGGTGGGTGTGACAAACAGCATCTCGATAGAAGAATTTTCCCTCTGTAAGTACGAGCACTGCTGAATTCACGACGCCGTAACGAGCTGCACACGAGGCGCGTTGTTTTAACGGAGACGGTATTTTGGGACAGCTCGTTCAATGTCCCCGCCGTTTTTTGTTGCGAATATTGTGCGTGGCTTCTGCTAGTGTAGCACGGGAGCTGACGTTAATCAGCATTATGACTGAATCGTGGATATTTGGACCTGGTGAGGCTTCCTTCATTTGGGAATATTTCAGCTGCTCCTGCGCTTCATGGCGCCACGTTGTTAGCCTATTATGTGGTGGGAGATGGTGGCACAGACACGGGGATAGACTGTGAGGACCTATTCCAGGTTTGTGAAATCTGTGGCCAGGATGTGAGAAAAGCTTCTTTATTCGACGTTTTCTGGCAGATAACATGCTTTTCAGCTGGTCTTTGTCTGCAGCTACTTGTCACGTTGGTGTCAACGCTTCTTTGTTTGATGCTGCTTGTTGTGCATGAGCTGCTGACACCAGCCAGCACAGTGAAAGCTGGGTCTGGAGATGCATATTGTACTCTTCAAGTAAGGACATTGGTAAGACGCCGTTAGTCGGTGGGTGACACTGAAATAACACCCGTGGGTGTCACTTTGGTATGGCAAGGTGTGTCCATTCACCAGCCCTGGTTCTGACACCGTCAGGTTGCAGTAGTGTTTTGGCAACAACATACAAATCAAATGGAGTTGGTTGGTAGCTTTTGTGAAACATTACAAGAGGCACCTGCTCGCTCAGCCAGTCCAGCTGATTCTGGTGCTGACAGATGACATGGCAGCTGCAGTTCATCACATGCAAGTCAGTCTTACGGTCGCATTGGAGGAGGATCCAGTTATTTGTACTGGCCCTGCGTGTTGCTTAAACATATGGTGTAAGGAACAGGTGCTCCCTGATGATGATGATGATGATGATGATGATTTCCTTCCCTGGATATGCTCACTAATCTCATCTCAGTTTTGTATGGTGGCTGTTTAGTATGCAGACTCCAGGCCTGTCTGCACCTGGCACTGCCTGCCGTTCCCGCCCTGATCACTCTTTTGTTTCCACAAAATGTGGACTGTCGTGCGTTAACAATTAACGCAGTGGTTGAGGCGTTTGAAACGCCCCCCGCACTTGTCTGAAGTGATTTGATGGTTTGCATATCAATCCAGATGTCAGCGCTGCCACAAGTTAGACAATAACAAATGGCGTGTGCCTGTGTAAAATGTGCAGCCACTGAATGCCAGTACCGTTTTGTGTGAAGTGATGGGCGGTGGTTGGGCGCAGCACCGAACATGACCACACGGGGGCACTGTTTTTAACTGGGCTTGTTTTGGAAGGTGGTTGCATTGGCAATGGTGTGGAACCTCTGCTGGAGGTCATCTGCTCATAAGTACATCAGAAGTCTGACTTTTCCCCCCCTCCCTTTTAGATAAACTGACGTGCGGCACACCTCAAGATGGCAGCCTCTGAAGGTGAATTGTGTCTCCAGTTAGAAAATGTCATGTAAATCATTGCTGAATAATGGTTCAGTGTGGCTAAACACATGGTTTACCTTTTGAGTTCAGATATCCAGGTCAAGGAGCTTGACAAGCGGGCCTCTGGCCAGGCCTTTGAGGTCATTCTGGGTGCTCCTGCTCCAGATACCAAGGGCGAGTTCCCGCTGTCTCCCCCCAAGAAGAAGGATGTCTCACTGGAGGAGATTCAGAGGAAGCTGGAAGCTGCAGAGGAGAGACGCAAGGTAAACTTATAACTTTTAAACCCACAGTGTCCTAGAAAAACACTTTAGCTATAAACGGTTTTAACCTGAACATGCTTCTCTTACACAGTGGGTTCGTCAGCATTTGAATGGTCATGGTGGATGCTGGGTGGGGAAACTTAAAATGTGGTGGGCTGGAGCTAATGTGGAGGTTTTCACCGTTCTTTTCAGAACCATGAAGCAGAGGTTCTGAAGCACTTGGCTGAGAAGCGTGAGCATGAAAAGGAAGTGCAACAGAAAGCTGCGGAGGAGAACAACAACTTCAGCAAGATGGCAGAGGAGAAGCTGAATCAGAAGATGGAGGCCAACAAGGAGAACCGCACAGCAATCATGGCAGCGATGAATGAGAAATTCAAGGAGAAGGTCGGTGTTTACCTGGATGATAAATGAATAAATGTGCATCATTTATCTAACTCAGCTTGTGATTTGTTGCATTTAATAGGACAAGAAGTTGGAAGAGGTTCGAAAGAACAAGGAAACCAAAGATCCCAACTCAGAAGAAGGCACTTCGGAAGACTGAAATCTGGAAATGGGGGATTGTATAGGGTTTTTTACGTATCCAAAGATTGATTTATTTTTTGTTGTATTCACTACCCACCTTTTTGAAATAAGAAATACAGGTTCCACTTTGACTTTTTCAATTCTCCTGCTATAAAGTGTACTTGCGCTGTTTTACATGTGCATCATCCCCCTGTAATCCATTTGATATGTAGCTTGTCAGTTCAGCTTCTGCCCTTTTTTGAAAACTAGCAGTGTAGACTTTTTGAGGAAGCATGCTCCTATGCATAGGTCTTTTTATCATACCTATTTCAAAGTGTGTTTTGAGAACGTCCCTGTGAACTACACCAGTTCTTGGCACTAACTGTACATCTAAAAACAAACTAGCACAAGGTTTGATGGAGGCTTCAGCTGTTACATGTGCAGGTGTTTAGTGCAGCTTTCGCTACCCAGATTCTTCTAGCTGTTCTCGCAGATCATGTTTTGTGCTGCTGCCAACGCTGTGAATTAACATGCCAGACATGGAAATGGATATCACCTAGAACACCATGAACAGGGGTCTACAGATGGAATGCAAGAGAGCAATACACTTTGGCATCTCAATAGATACGCTGGCTAGTTGACTTGAACTGTTGTACTAAACTAAATAAAAATGTAAACATGATTTTCTGTTGAAATTATTGGTGTCTTATGTTTTGTGGCCTGCTTGTTGAAGGTGTTGGGGTTTTTTTTTTTGGGGGGGGGGGGTAATCTGGACAGACACTTGGAGGTATTCTCTCAGTGAAACTACCCTTGGAAGGTTTGGCCTATGTTTAATGTGACACAACAAAACAAATAGCCACTTTACTTACTAATTAATCTCCCTGTAAACTCATTTACCACATGCAGTTATTTCATATCCAGCTCTAGTGAACTGGACTGTTGAGGCTACTCAAATGCACCATGGTCTTTGCTGGAGTAAAGGTGGGAAAACTGGTCAAGGCCGTCTCACTAGTAATGTTCTCCATCGCTGATGCAGGGATTTAATGCCAGTACACTGAGATTTACCAAGTCCCTCATTTTGAAACCATTCCAATTTATATCTATGCCAGTGACATCACATAGTTGAGTCCAGGGACCAGCTTCATAAAAAGTGCAGTCTATGTCGCCCTCTGGTGGTGACGGTGTAAAACAAGCATTTTGAAAAGCTGAATCAAGTGAAGAGTGAAACCACATTTAGGAATCATGCACGTTGAATATATTCATGGTATTTTATTCTGACAAAACAAAGTGAACAACCATAACAAATAAGACTCCTTACAACGAATTTTGTTTATATGATGGTGGGCACCTTGCAAAAAAAAAAAAAAGAGGGTGTATTAAGGTGGCATTTACAAGCTACATACAAATCTTTTATGTGTATTAAAATAAGCTGAAAGTATCTAAATTATAGATTAGTGACTCACTTACACTTCACTCTTAGCGTCAAGTCAATTTTATAGAGCTTAAGCTTTTATTTGTCTCAGCTTTACAAACGGCACACCACATAGTGCTCTCTGTCCTTATACTGTACGCTTCATTTGGGCTAAGAAGCACTCCCAAGCTTTTTAAAACGCATGACGACACAGAGCTGCTCTGATCGGCATCTATGCTATACGAGAGACATTTCAGAGAATATAAACAATTGTGCTTGTTCAGGCAGTGGTGGAAGAAGTACTCAGATCCCTTAAGTAGCAGTGTAAACATACTTTGTTACAAGAAAAAGTCCTGCATTCACAATGTCACTTAAGTAAAAGTACAAAAATATTAGCTTCAAAACACTTAAAATGCTAAAAGTAAAAGTACTCATTTTGCAGAATGGCACTTTTGACATGATTATATATATTATTGTATTATAAATACTGATGCATTATTGTGTTAATCGCATTTAATGTTGCAGCTGGTAAAGAGGGCGCTATTTGTAACTAGCTTATATACTTATGTATTTGAAGTACTGCTAGGTAGCTTTTGACTTTTCCAATGAAGCTCAATAAAGTCATGATTATGCTGGTATTTTTGTATAAATCTGGTTCTGAAAAGTAACTAGTAGCTAAAGATATAAAATAAAAGTAGTACAATACTTGCCTCTAAAATGTAGTGAAGTATGAAGCAGCACAAAATGAAAATACTTTAAGTACACATACCTCAAAATTGTACTCAAGCACAGTACTTGAGTAAATGTACTTAGAACTAAAATGTGATATGGTTACAAACTCATCTGCTCCAGCTGTTTTTAAACGTGCATGTTACTATTTGTCATGTATTATTAATAATATGTTTATCCTTTACTGACATACTGTCTAGCCATACATTTATAGCAGGTTTAAGGTCAAATGGAATTTATTCAGTCTAAAACTGGTTCAACTATTACCATATTTTATTTTGGGTAAATGAGCCACCATTAAAATAAAAAAAATATCAGTATTACTGGGTCAAAACAACCTGTTAGTACTGGATAAGAGTTAACCCTGTATTTTATTTGCACAAAATTTACACAAACTGAGTACATTTTAAACCCAGGGTTTTCAGAGTGCACAGAACTGTATCTAAATATAAAGTAGCATAAATAAAAATACACTAGTTAGTATTGCAAAATTGTACCTAAGTACAGAACTTGATTAAATGTAATTCATTACATTCCACTACTGCATTTCAACGAGCACATAGACACTACAACAGATCAGTGCGTTGTTTGGTTCATGTCCCATTGGCACATGTTCATGCCTTATCTGGAGAGATTACTTCCTATATTCTTACGTCACACCATAAAGTACAGTGTAGGAAGTGGACTATTATTTTCTGAGCTGATTACTACCAGTAGGGGGCAATGTTGCTCTTTACTTCCTCTCTCCATCTCTGTCTCTCTCCAAGTATCTATAAAACTTATAAAAACGTCTAAAGCCATCATGTGTTTTGAATTCTTAAATAATAATTGTAGCTTTGAAACAAATGTGGTGGATTAAAAGTGAAATGTTTTTCTATCAACTGTAATAAAATGAAGAAAACTCCACAAAGCTCCACAGATTGTATTTAAGTATAGTTGGCCTACATGACTGAGTTAGTTACTTTCCACCAGTGTAGAGGGATAATAACACGAATGGAAAATTAAATTAACTATTCCTCACTGGGTGCATAAACCCCTAGAATGCCATCAAGGACCCTCGGAAGTCCCTGTTTGGAGGCTGCTGTCTCAGTTTACATATTAAATGTAAAATACCATTTAAATACAGTATAAGAAAAACTTATAAGCACTTGGCTTCTCACTGAAACACTCACTGTGTGTAATGCAGGCGGCAATCGGGGGTCAGTGTGAATCCTGGCAGTTTGCAACAATTATTCCAAGGCAAAAAAAGGAGTGACAAAAGCAATATCACTGCTGTTGACATTTATATTAAAGGACTCATTCTCAGTGCCTGATTTGCTGAAGAGAGTAAAGAAGAAAAATCTATTTAGAACTGACACTGTTGAAAAAAAAGGAGGAATGTGTGGGTTAAAACACTGTTAACGCCTTTAAAGGAATAGTTGTAACATGACTAGAAACAGAGCCCCCCTCTATCAACCAATGACCTGTAATAACCCTCTGTAATACAATCTTATTACCACAGCAGGAGTGACCCAAGACAACCAGCTTCATGACAGCCCAGTGATGCTCTGAATGCACAAGGGTGCTGATAATTACTGATACAACCAGCATGAAAGAACTGCTCTCAGTGTTAAACACACACATTGTTAATCCCACAAAGTCTGAAGTAAAAGTGCCTTTAATTGGCACAACACTGCAGGCCCACACTGTGAACGATTTTCGCCAGCTGAACGGTGCTGACAGTAAAGACTGGGCCCTCATTCTGACTTACTGCTCACTATTGTGCACAGCCTGCCAGTCTGCTCATCTGAAAAAGAAACTAGAAAGCTAGTCATTCTTTTAAGTTGCTCTTTTATTGTAACTCGTTTTCATGTAATGGTTTCTATTTTATTTAGCTTGTTACCTTTTTTTAATCAAAAAACACAAATGACTAGTTCTGGGGGAAGTTTGTCCAGTAAGTCCTAATGACACATCAACACACTGGCAACGTTGCATGACCAATGTGCTGGATCTGGGCTAAAACGCTAACAGTGGATTTTCGAGCAATGACTTGCACTCAGCAAAAGCCAAAGACATCAGCCTGTTGGTGGTGCAGAGGTTAAAGGACTGCAAAAATCAGCAGAGCAACAATGTCAATGTCAAGGTAATCCATCCACTAATAGCGTTGTATCAAGCTGGACAGATGCAGAGGACTGACAGACCAACACTGCTGTTTGCATGCCCATAGTAGGACAGGAGAGACCGAGTGATTTGAAAATAAAAACATTAGATTTGGTGCTGGTTGTAGAGGACTTCACAGAGTCCAAAGTCTGCAGAATGCAAGAACCCAGAGCTGCAGATGGCCGCTGGCCTCCACCCACACCTCACTAACCCACGTTGTTACATCAGGAGGAGGATGAAATAAATCATTTAGATCTCCATCATATTCTGCTAACTGTGAGTTTAAGCTAACAATTAAGAGATTAAGTTCAGTTTTATATAATGTACAGGCTCAGCTAGTCAACCCAGATCACCTTTGATTAAATAGACCTATGTAGTGGTTTTCATATTGATTATAAATCTATGTAGCAACAATCTATGCTCTATGATTATCTCTACATCTACTACAGAAAATGTGATAGTAAGAGGTGCTAGGCTACTTGATTTGTCTATGTGTGTATGATCTCATTAGGCCTATTTGTTGTCATTTTTGTTTGATTGCTTAGGTTTGGTCGAGTTAATGAAACTATACTGAGGAAGGCAGATGCAAATACTTAGTTTGGACACAAGGTCCAGTATAGTTCACATCTGGGCGTGGTATGATATTGTTCCATGAGTGATTTACTGACTGCACATTTTTACAGACTTCATCACAAGTTGGGAGCATGGAGGTCGAAAGGAGGAGATATTAACCTGGTGACAATAAAGATACTTCGGCTGCATTACAGGAAATGTCAGATGTGGTATTCTGTAATCTGTGCCTATATCTCTGCTGCTTCAGTGTAACCCATTCTTTTTTAAAATCTCTCCACTGGGAGATAATATATAGATATGAGGTGGATGCAGTTCATCTAAAGATTTATTTTTTCTGGAAGAGGTCAAACTCTCCAATATTTTACAAGAAAAGCAAAAAAAATGAAAACCTTTTTTACATTTTGCAACTGCTCCAACCATCCCTTCAGCCACCTTCCCTTGAATTTATCATTAGACATTTAAGAGGCTCCTGGCCCCATGATGGGAACAGGCTTTGCACTGTTATACCAGTGGCACTTTTTGTGAATTACACATAATATACAGAGCCAAACAACCATCTCTTTGCTCCACGCAAATCTGCTCTTCTATCATTTGAATTTTATGTTGTAAGTGCTTTTATATATTAAAAGAGCACCATATTTAGCCTGGCGAGATTACAACACAGAAGTAAAACATTCCAGCCTGTATCTTGAGTAAACATAATGCAGAATGAGTCTATCCTGACATCATCTTAATGAAAATGTCTGTGGGGAAACAACAAATAGGGCCAGGCTAAGGCCGCGACTACAGGGAGTGGAGAAAATATGTAGATAGGCTGAGGCAGGGAGGGATGAATCGAGGGTC